ATCTCATTTGGAACTTCAATTTTTTTTCGGTTTGGAAAACATGTAATGGATGTCAAAATACTCTATAAGCTGATGCAAAGCTATTTAAAAAGCTTAAGGGTTTAGTTTGAATGCTTTTGGGCTCAGCCCAGAAATAAACCTTATAAGCTATTGAAGGTTTTCTCGGGAAACATTTGGCCTGAAGTGGTTATATTCGGAGCTTTGGTTTGGAAGGGCGGGCGTTCAGCTCTTGCAGCGCGACTCCGCTTTTTACTTTTGTGTTTTCTAGGAGTAAGTAGTTGCAGGTCAGTATGAGTCCTCCGTGGCCCAGTGGATTAAGGATCTTACTTTAGTTCGGGAGCTTAAGGGCCTGCGTTCGACTCTTAGCGGGGGACTCTATCGAGCTGAATATTTTTTATGGCGGATTATTGTTATTTTTTTGTTTAAACTGAGGAAGCAGCGGTTCAAATCTAGATTACCTTTAAATGCCGTTGAGCGTCTAATGTTTGAGCAATAGAACACTTTTTCCGTGTCTTATCTAAACACGAGGAGGGTTCGGAGAAATCCAGGCAGTTATGGAAACCCGAGCCATAGTCGAGGGTTTGCATAACTTTCGAGAATTATTCTCCCAAATATGGAGTGCAAGCAATCCTTTGTGGGGAAAAATATGGCTCTACATTTTACCAAAATACCATGCGAACTTGACAGACCTCAAAAACAACAACAACATTTCTTCTTACAAACTAATTAAAGTTAATTAAAAGGTGTAATCTTTAATAAGGGTACTGGCAAACTTAAATAACCAGTGGGTTAAAAATGCCAGATTGCCAGTTTGCTAACTGACTGTGCATACTATAGGTATAGATTGCAAGAAAAGCCATTTTTTTAACAATATTTATCCCTGTGCTAACGGAATGGTGTATGCTGGGTTTAAAGTTGTTAGAACTTTTCTGAACGTTTTTATGAGGGTTGTTAAAGTTTTCGTGCGCTGAGAATTATGGGTAAACGTATCAGTCGCCATTTTTTCCCACGGAGGATTTGAATTCATAACGGACGCCGGAGAAACCTGAAGAGGAACACAAGCCCAATACCATGTAACGCAAGAGGAAACTGGCGGAAGGTGGAATTCAAAGTGGCGAACTCACTAGTCAAAGGACCAGGAGAGGCATGACTAAAGCCACATGAAGGTTTACCCACTCACAATGCAATGAGAAATGCAAGAGATACACGGTGTAAGTCCCAAGAACACGAGCAGAAACAGCAGTATGAAATACGGGTTAGAGAGAAGAGGAAATGTAGTGTGCCGAATTGACGGGTTAACAAACTAGGGAAAGCCCACCCATAATTCAGAAGGCAACGGAACGTGACTGGAAGCGTGTTCGGGAACGGACAATAGAGAAATAGTATAACCTTCAAGAAAATGGGCGGGATGAAGTATACGAAATTTATTTCTATGCTGAATTATTTTCCAGAAATCAGTGAAAAGCCTGTTTTAATATTCAAATACCCCGCCTTAATTGCGACGAGAAAATCGTCCAATTGAATAATAGCAACGAACTATGCATTTGTTGTGTGCCGTTGCAAACGTTTGAAATTTAAATTGCAAATTACTCATACGATGAAACATTTGTCACGTAGTGTTCGTTGGTCGTACACTTGGCCATCCACGTTCAGAACTTCAGCAAACAAAATGTACTTTTCCTTCACTCGTTGCTGCAAAACCACCAGCATTGAGCTTAGGATATGGCTCTACATTTCGAGCTTCTATGTAAAAACAAATACAACAAGAACGTTACTTCAAGCAAACTTTACAAGACGTAGTCCGTAAACCAATATGCAAAAGCCGCCTTCTCAGGACATTGCATGGTTGTGAATCCTTCTCAAGGTAACAAATTTACGTGAAAGTAATTCTGGGTTTTCCAAAGATAAATTAGCATTTTTTTCTCTTGAAAAGAGCTGTAGAAAACCTTTCTGGCGGTTTTTAAAGTCAACAACTTTCACTTGCGAAGTAGTGTTGGTGATTCCTTGTCCACTCATAGTTATTCCTTTTCCTTGACATAATATTCATGCTTATCAGAGGTAGCTATAGATTTTCTGGTAGAAAAATGACACGGATCTGTTCTTGGCACCGACGGCTATAAACAGAGAATTTGGTCACGTCGTTACTTCAGCCAGTTTAATTCGCTGCCAATCTTTTTGCAACTGAACTCCACATTTCACACGACTCAATAAAACACTAATCTCGAGTCGCTTGCACCAAAGATCTTTTGAAGGATTTTTTATGGAAGAAATGTATTTTTTTAATCACAGGGAAATGGTTGTGAATATGGTAAGCCTAAATGAAAGTGAAGAATGATCATCGCAGTTAATTTTCCAATTTAAGCACTTGGAAAGAAGAAGCCTGAAAAAATCAAGGCTTCAACGGGATTCGAACCCGTGACCTCCGCGATATCGGTGCGATGCTCTACCAACTGAGCTAGGAAGCCACATATTGGGAGCGAGGTCAATTAATTGAGTCCATATCTTCGAAGCCTAAGTCGTTCAAATATTAATTATTTGCTGTTCTGGACTTTCCTTTCAGAAAAGAGGTAACTGCAACACTGACAACTCATGAGGGCACGGCCAATTACAAGATTAGTTCTGGTTAGTTGATCTTTTCAGTTGCAAGCGTGTTCATGAAATGTTAATTCACTTTACATTGCTTTAACCAGTTATGAAATTTTGGTGTTACATCAAAGCAATCGTGAGAATGAACCAGAACTTGATGAGGGCCAACGTTTCGAAACGTTATTTCAGAAAAGATAAAAATCAAATGATTTGTTCAAATAATGACTTTAGAGTATTAATGTTGCCTTTAAGAACTTTGACACTTATGTTGTTTTCTTAACCAGCTCATTTTAGGTTGGAATTTCTATACTGAGGCGCCTTGTGATCTAAACGCGACATTGGAAAATGTCCTGCTCAGCTCATTCAACTATGGTAAGTTCATGCGTGATTGTCCAAAATGAAACTTTAGAGTGTGGTTGTTTTCTTCAGTTAAAACGTTAGAAACTTACGTAGTTTTCTAAACCTCCTTTTAGATTGGAATTACTATACTGAGGCACCCGATGAACAAAACATGATCGTCGGACAAAGCCCTGCTCAGCTCAATCAGCTATGGTGAGTTCATCGTCATCTTATTATCTCGTTTATGTTCTATTAATCACACACAATGCACAGTGAGGGAATCAGATGTCGATTTGGCCAATTTTCGTTGAAACATTCGAAAAGTTTCGGAAGTTTTAATTTTTTATCCAATCAGTACAAAGCGCAACCATTCGAGCGAATTTTGTCGTTGCTTAGCTTGGAGGTCGAAATTTCGACCCTAGACTGTGCAAAACTCGATAGCTGAGAAACCACGTTCACACACGCAACCCATCATGCAGAGCCTCCGTGCGTGCTATAACTTAACTATTTTTAGAACTGTAATTAGCACAGGAGCCTCTTGGTTTCCCACGAAATATCTTGTTTCTGCAAAAAAGGAAGCAAAACATGGGCCAAAGGGAATCCCAGTCTTTGTGGTGACAAAAAATGGTCTTAGCTCCTCGGGTATCATTGGCTATTTAAAGGGGTCGTGTGAAAACTCCCACTAGAGCTTTTTCTAAAAATAGAAAGATACGGGAAAGTGTTGACTGGCAGGGTTAGTATACGAGATGGAGACTCCAGTTAATGGGTTCCTGGCGTGATTTAATTCAGTGATAAGAGAGGACATTATAGGGAATCCGAGAGTGAATTTGGCAATAGAATTTGTAAATACTTGTGTTTCAAAACCATCATAACGACAGGCTTTTGCGAAAACCTGATGCAGAAAACTCATTTGCAATTTCGTTGATTTGAACCATAGTTTTTATAAGCCCCACTTGATGTGGGTGACCTTGAATGACCTTTAGTGTCATGAATTCAAGTTAGCTGCTATTTTGGTTTATATTATGATGCAAATTAATCACGTGATTAGCAAGCAGCTTCCAATGAGATTTCGACCAAATTCATAATATTATTTCGTGCTTCCCGAATGAAATGTGCTTAATTTTGCCACTTGCGAAGAGCTTGGACAAAAGAAAAATGTTTTAAGCTGCTGACTTTCAACTCTCCTAACCTACTAGTTATACTACTTCATCTATTTTCGCGAGGACAAAATGTAGATTGTTCCTGCTACTTTCAGCTTTCGACTAGTGTACGCGCTTGAACCTTTAGATGTATGTTTTTTTTTTTGGTATAATTCTTGATAAACATTGTTGACCTAGACGCGTTGTATTTTTCCACAGTGTGACCCCATGCTCGGCATTGTCGCGGGAAACAGGCACTGATTATCATGGATACATTGGCTCTCGTGGATTCTTACAGAGGCCAGCTGCAGATGCCTAGGGACAAGAACAAGGGTCTGAATAACTTGATGTGGTTTCCGTTGTATGTGGCTCGTTAGGTAAAGAACAATGATTACACCGAAAATTGTTTCCAAGAACAATTAGGACATCGAATCAGCTGACGAGATTGAAGCAAGGAAATATTGTCTCGATGCATAATCAAATTCTCACAAGTAATAAAAGAATTGTGTGCTATTCAGTAAGGAGAGTTAAGAATTCGGACCCATGCTTTGAAATCAGACCTAAAGTTAGTGTTGGACATACAACTTCAGTTTAATTTTTTTTAAAGTCGTTTCGTCTTCTATTGTACGGTGCAATTGATTGTGAATGTTTCTAAAACCTCGCCGTACTTTTTTCTACAAGAAACCTAAATTTAGTTTCGGTCACGCAACTTAATTTAGAATTTTTGAAGAGATTTCGTCTTTATTGTACGGCACAATTGTTTGAAAATGTTCCTAAAAATCTAGCCGTACTTTTTTCTCTCTAGAGATCAAAATTTATTGTGAGAAATGCAAATTTGTTTAAATATTTTGAAGTCATTTCAAATCCTATTTCACGTTAGTAAAAAGGCTCACCGTGCTTTTTGAATTCTAGATTTTACAGCAAACTACACCAGTGAAGTAATTCACGAAATATTCTGGAGATAACTAAAATTTTGAACTCTTGCCATTTTACAAATAGGAAAATCGAATTATCTCTGAAGCGAACACTGAATTTCTGACCAAATGTATTCGACTTACTCTTTCATTTTCGTTTGGTCTCCTTGCATGGGTCCGCGTTTATTTATATTCAATGCATTGAAAACTTAAGAATATTGTCAGTTGGCAAAGAATATTTGAAAATCAGGTCTAATTTTTTTACAGAAATTTCTTTTGAGGGACAAAGAGTCTGTTGTTTAAAAATTTCCGGCAATTATATTTTCTACGTATATATTATAAACACCGTTTGTACAATCAAGCCAGTTTTCATTGAATCTGTAATTTCAGTTTTGAATTAAATTCTTGTAGATATTTTTTTAATTCCCTTCATTGCTGTAATTACTAGTTAGAAATTGTTCAGACTTTGTTACAATTGTAAACTGTTTTGATTAATTACTTTGGTCGATAGATACAGAGAAATTTTATGACTCGTAAAATTACTCTGCATCTATTGACCTCAGTAGTTAGTTAAACAGTTTTTATACTTGTAAATATATACTCAGTAAAGATCACAACCTATAAATCAGTTCTCACTTTTAATACTTTATTGAATTGAAATAAAGAAACAATATTGTAATCAACAAATGAGTCTTGTGTCACTAAATAAAAAAATGCGCGCTTTTAAAGGGGCCTGGAAACTAGTCGAAATGTAGGCTATCTCTTTTACTATTTTTTGACTATGTAGGGTTGCCGACGCGGAAAAACGTTCTGCACTTTTAAACAGAGTCTAGTAACTAGTCAAAATAAAGGTAGACTTTCGATGGGCAAAATCTGATTATAAACTGCACAGATTTTTTCCCGCCAAAAGACTTAGTTTATTTTTGACAAATTTCAAGACTTCATTTAATAGCGCAGACTTTTTTCCCGCCAAAAGACTTAAATTATTTTTGAGAATTTTAGACACAGATTTTTTCCCGCCAAAAGACTTACTTTATTTTTGGCAAATTTCCAGGCACCGTTTAAAAGCGCAAACTATTTTCCCGCCAAAAGACTTAAATTATTTTTGAGAATTTTAGACACAGAGTTTTTTCCCGCCAAAAGACTTAAATTATTTTTGAGAATTTTAGACACAGAGTTTTTTCCCGCCAAAAGACTTAAATTATTTTTGAGAATTTTAGACACAGAGTTTTTTCCCGCCAAAAGACTTTTTTTTTTTTCTGAAATAATTCCAGGCACCGTTTAAAAGCGCATACTACTTTCAGGCCAAAGGACGAAGAATTAACAAATAACCTATAAAAACGTAATTCTTTTCGTTCCAAAATATTATGTTTTTTTTCTTCGATGCATTTAAATCTGACTAAATGTTTAGCGAGTTTTCGCGTTCTTTATTAAATATATTTGTGCATATTCACCAAAGGAGAAAAAAAACACTACACGATGAGAGCTTGCGGCTATCTTATGTAGCATCGGTCTCCAATTGCAATTGGTGCGATTAACTTCTTTCAATTCTGCAAAATATGAGAGAGAAATGAGAAATTAGAAATATAGAAACACAAAAAGACAACGATAATTTCATTGTTTAATAGAACACATTAAAATTCTGTGCAAAGGCGCGCACATATTTCTCTAAACATTTAATTCCTTTAAAACAAAAAAACATTGAGCTCTCGTAAAAATATGTACGGGTGAGACTCCTATTAAAATTTTGTGTTACCTCATAATTTCTTGTGCCTTTCACGTTTGGGATTTTGTAAGCCAATTTCTCACCTCGTTATCTCCACTGTGTCGAAAATATCCTGCATTTTGGGTCCAGCAGAGTATGAAAATAATGCTCATTTTCTCTCCTTATTCTGTAGATATTTTTACATCCAAACAACTCGATCGATAAGCCAATGTAATGATTGTTGTTGCCAACGCAAAACAGCCTTAATTTAACGTTCTGATTCACTAGAGGAGTAGCTGAAAGGTCCCTATCAACTAAATTATTTTTGTCTTTTATTCTTCGAGCGCGTTATGCTAATATTCCCTAACACGTTTACTACGACGTGCATAAAAATTACCGCGAGTGCAAGTCTCACTGGGCCTTGAAGGAGTGGACATTACAAATGACGTTTCCACAGAAACTAACATCGCGTGAAATCTTAAAAATTCCATTTCTCAGACTTTCGTTGAAATTTAAATGACACCTGGCTAAGTATCACATGAAAGGCACAATGGTAATAACAGATAAACTTTCAAGTTTTGGAGTTGGTCTGAAAATGTAAATGCACTCTGGTATTGTAGAAAATTTTAATTAACTTACACAAGAGTGTATTAAAACTCAAATCCTTGTTTGTGTTGATTATTGTTTCCTCACTTCCAAAAATTCATTTATTATTTTATTAAGCGTCACTAAAATTCCACGTCTGGAGTTTATAATATTTTAACCCCCAAAACAAAGTGATTAAAATATTGCAAAAGCCGCTGATTTTGTTCATAGGAAATTAGGAATAAAAATTAAAACAAACATACCAAACGTCCTGTTAACTCAACGAAGTTTCGAAGAATATTTGAACAACACATGAAAATATTAGCGTATTCCATAGTAATGGAATATTATGGTTGCATTCGCATCTATCAATATGTCTATATTGGCGTATGTCTAGTTATTGTGTCGAGTTATCCCGAAAGAAAGGCCTCACAAGCGCTAGCTAGTACTAAGATACTAAACAATTAAAATAAAAACAATGCCTCTGGATTAGAAAAGGAAAAATAGGTGAACGAGAGTTCAGTTAAAAAAAAAGATTAGAATCATTGCAAAGCAGATTTTTTGACTTCTATCTCCGAGAAGATCGGAGCAGAATTGTGTAAGAATTATGAATCAATATAATCAAAAGGAAAAAGCTGAATATTTTTCTAAATATTTCACTTATTCACAACCAACTTAGGTTGAATCTAATATTTTTTGACACAAACTTTGACGAGTTAATTGATGTAATACAGCTTTTGATTTGTTAGACTTTTGTTGTTGCCATGAAGACATGGACATTAGTTGAGCGTTTCAGTAACATAACAAGGTGTGATGTGATGCAAAAGCAATCATTCTTAAGAAAATCTTTGCGTCTATACTTTTTACAATGATTTCTAAATCAATTGGCCTTATTCAGTCATGATGGCCATCGTGATCTTTGCATTTCATATAACATGCAAATTGGCTATGTGGTTTTCCAGGGACCAGTCACCATTCTTACCGCAATTTTTGACTGTCAGATAGACAACTACAGCATGACGGAAGAGTTATTGGTTTGGAATAATTTCTTGGTATTCTGACAACACAAGTCGGTTATCTTTAAGAAAAGCTCAAAAATAGCCTCAAGTGCATTAGTTACTACAAAGCCATAGACCTGCAATACATGTGAACACAAGATTAATTTGCATTATGGTAGAAAAAAATTGCTACTGAAGTTATTTAGTGTTAAATTCTTTCTTAAAGAAGAAAACAGAATATACTAATGAATCAGTAATACGCAAAGAAAACACGCATCAGGAAACAATGGACTTTTCAGTTAAAACAAAAATAGCCATGTGCACCCTGGTAGCCATACAGGGGGTCAATTGAGATATCTCTCGTGACGTAAATTTGACACCAATCAAAGTGAAATGATGAAGAACCTGGCTAAAAACTTTGAAAAACACACAATCATTTCCTCCTGTAATCATGTTTTCTCATTTGTTACAACAGCATTTCGTATAAATTCACTTCTTCCCCTCCCATGCTCCTTTGTTGATAACTAATGAAGTTACAGTCCCTTAATGTTGAGGTTCAGAATGAAAATGGAAAAATTTGCAACTACATGAACTAGCTTGAAAAGTTTTATTTTCTATTAAATTTTCTGTAGCGGTATTGTTTAGATGCTTCTACATTGTTGGTACATTCTCAAAATAGATGGACATACTCTGTCCTCAAATACGGTTTTCATTGGCCAATTTTCTTCCATCGAGTCATCTGATTCAATTAGCTGTACTAGAACTATTTGCAGATACTTTTCCACCTTTTTGTCTTTAATTTTTATCAAACACTTCATTTCACACATGTTTCTACCAAAGTCAAAGTGCCAGAAAAACTTGAACTGGTTGGTGTATTGTCGCAAAACCAACCTAATGGAGGTTTTCAGTAGTTCATTTTGGAAATTGTATCCCTTTAAATTTGTCAAATTTATCATGTTAATCATTCCTTAAAAGAAATAAACAATTCCAGGAAAAAACAAATAAGAGAGATTGGAAAATGGTGTAACACTAAGACCCTAAATTGACATAAAATCGTAAATAAATGTTCACTAAATGCACATGTTCTCAATAACACGCAAGACAGTTTACAAAAGAGTGTAATCAACAAAGAAACAACAACAACAAAAATCATTGCATTTTGAAAAGCTAAGGGAAAAAATGTCTGTATTAAATAATCTGTCTATATTGTTGTTTTCATGAAAAAAAATCCTTTACACATTTAAGGTAGCGAATATAAAAACTAAGGACTGATTTTACTATTACTTTATTATTTTGATGAGGCGATTTTTAAAGCCATCAAATTCCTGCTCCAGAAGATAAATTCTCAGGACAAAGTGTATTGAGGATTGTAAACACGATGATGATTACATGTATTTGTTTAAAAAACATGTACATTACTGTGCAAAAAAAAAAAAAAAAGAATGAAGGCGAATTTGCCAAAATTTGGCTATTGTTCACACGAAACATCGCAAAATTTTTGAGCGGAAAAAATGTGATTTTTTAGCAGAGATTTCAAAGAAATTTCCTTGAGCCACACGGAAGTTTGAACACATGCACGAAATGTAGGTGGTAAAAATGATCAATAAATTGTGCAAGTGAAGTAGTCTCAAACTGAACATTGCAAATGCAAAAACAGACCAAATACAACATTGTAAATCACAAAAACCCAAGGAGACCCTTATAGCAAATAGAATAAATGTAGGGGAACACATGCATGCCTACATTGCCATTCTATCGTTTCTCATTTTGTATCTGATTGGTTTCTTTCAATCTAAAATCGAATGCAATGTCGAATTACTTTTCACACTCAATTCAAAAATGGTTCTAATCTAATAAGTGAATGAGAAAATTCATAGGTTTGTCAACTTACCAACATGAAATCTCCTCGTTATTTAATGTAGCATAGTAAAGGATCAGAATTACAGCATTGAACTGTAAAAAGAAAAAAAAAAACAGTCAAAAAGATAAAGTACATGTACCAATACATTCAGTATTGATACGTCTATTACTGTTTGATAAGTAGGCAACACTGAGTTGACGGGCACATTATTAAATTTTTAATTATTTCAAAACAGTTTGTTTACCTACAACTGGCCTGGGATTTGTGAAGAATGTGCTAGATAGCCTAGACTTGTTTTTGAGCAGTTATATATACTCAAATTAAGTTAATTTTTGTGTAGCATAATGTATGTATTAGATTCGACACGGCAGAAATCCGACGTTTGATATCGGTGTCGCATTTCTGTCGGACAATGCGACAAGAACAGTCGGACGTGCGGCAGAAATGCGGCAGCAGATTCAGACGTCGAATTACTGTGGAATTTAATTTGTTGAATTGAATTCGACGCGGCAGAAATGCGACGTATGAACCGGGCCTTAGTCAGTCAGTGACGCGATCAGCCAGTCGTGCGATCAGTCAGCAAGTCACATTTAATACACATTAAATCTGATCCTTGAACTGTTTAAACGTTTTGTCTCCTATCATCTCAGTCAGTGAGTGAGTGAGTCAGTGAGTGAGTCAGTGAGTCAGTGAGTCAGTGAGTCAGTGAGTCAGT